TGCTCCCTTCCAGATGGCAGACCGTGTGTGGGAACTTCACCTGCCCATCCCAGCTGATGCCGTGAGAGCTGCTTCAGTCCCTCGAAGCAGCGAAGAACACGCAGAATTTTCTCTGCTTAGCCCACGCCACGAAGATTTAATTCAACTGAAGGGGGACTTTTAAGTTTAAATTCTTGCTGTTTCAGCTCTAGAAAGTCCCTTGACATCAGGAAGCATCCCCACATTTGCAAACATCATTCTAGAATACGGCTCATCCCGCAAAATGCAGCAAGTTGTAACTAAAAGAATGTAAGTGCCCCTTCAAATCCTTAATGACTCTATAAATAAGGCACTAACACCTTCCGACATGCTAATCAAAATACGATTCTCTTGAGCCAGATTTCTGCGGAGAATCCCATGTTTCCGGGGCACATCCTCACATCAAAGGTCAACGCCTTCTCAACTTTCACTCGAGTTTTGTCTTTTTGTTGATCAGCAATTCTGGCACAAACAAGAGCAGTCCTCAAGTGGTTTTAGTAATGACTCACTCTTGTTTCTTAACGGCACCTTGAGCGGGCTATACTTCCCAGATCAGAGCCACCGCCAAATCCAAAATGCTGCTCTCTTCCCAAACATTCGTTTCGGAGAAGGCACAGGCAGTCTGACAACATCTTCACTGTCCTCTGTTCTGTTGGTCAGTGGCTTTCTTTTCAGGGCCACCTTTCACTGGGAAATGTAACAAGAGTTGCCACCTACCCTCAAGTAGGAAATGGAGAGGGTGTGGTCGCATGTGGTGTGTGACCGATAGCCGCGTTATCCCGCAGCCCGACTCGCCGCGGCTGCACGCCCACCCTCTGGCCAGCCGGCTGCATAATCTGGCTGCAGAAAAATTACACAAACTGCATGTTTAGGACCTGCGGGGTTCCCTGGGAATACTAAATTCACTGATACCAGAGTTTTTCTGAATTGAAGTATTTTGCTTTTCATGCTTGTTTCAATAATTTCATGTTATAATATTTTGGTCTAGGGTCTTACACGCATCTAACTCTGTGTGTTCATTTGATCTCTGTACATTGGAACTTAACTATTTTCTTCCTATAGGAATACATTTTCCATGTGCATTAACCAAGAGGCTGGATATTCCTACCTGTTCCAGACCACTCGGTGATTTGGTACCACCTAGCAGAGCGCCTGGCAAACAGAGACGACACAAGATAAACATCACAAATGAATAACTGCCTTTCTCAGTAAAGATATTGAGAGGGGGTGTGGTATGTTTCTGGGCCATATATCCCAAATCCTAAGCCCCAATTCTTTATTCTTAATTACCAAGGAAACCACCATAGGTCTTAAGGAAACAATGTCTAGCATCCTCCACTCAACATCTGAATCAATGGTAAAATTGTTAACCAAATGGTTTTAGACCTCAGATTTCTAAAGCCAAATGATCATGGTTAACTAACAGTTACTGACTCTATTGAGCACAATGATTGTTTAGATTGAACGTGTGTATTAGTTAGGAGTTTTGTTGTTTTTGCTGTTTCATGTAATAGAAACTCAACTAACTAGCTTAGGAAGAACAAAGAGGAAAGTTACACAGTACCATGTTTCCCCAAAAATAAGACAGGGTCTTATATTTATTTTTCCTCAAGAAGACACCCTAGGGCTTATTTTCAGGGATGTGTTATTTTCCCCTCAAAGTCTCAGCTTGCAGCACGCACAGGATGGCCGGGACCTGACAGGGGGAGCCGACCTTGTTGGTGGGGCTGCCCGCACCTTTCCGGTCACCTCTGGGATGGTAGCTTTCACGATGGGGCAGATGAGAAGGGCTGCTCGTCTTCTTTCCTGCTCCTCGACGAAATGCATGGGTTGTGCAGATGCGCTGTGCAGCCACGCCCAGCACTAGGGCTTATTTTAGGGGTGGAGCTTCTATTGTGCAAATGCTTAGAAATCCTGCTAGGGCTTATTTTATGAATAGGTCTTATTTTCAGGAAAACACGGTAGTCTCATGGTTCGGAAAGTTATAAGGGGAACTCCCAGAAGGAAGAGCTGCAGGAATGGGAGGCCCCAGGGCCCTCTCCCTGTCTCCCTCTCTCATCCTCCCGCCTGGCTTCTCTTGCAGATGGGCTCTCTCTACATGCAAAGCACCGCCACGCTGGCAGCCCCAGCAAAGGAAGAGCTTTTGCTCTCATGTAACAGTCCCAGGGAAGGACTCTAATTGGTCCTGCTTGGTTCACACGCCCAATCCTGGGGTCAAACACTGTTGACAACAGGACGAGACTCTGTGGTTGGCCAGGCCTGCCTTACGCACCCACCCCCTCAGCTGGTATAGCAGGGCCTATTTCCATGAGCGTCATGGGAAACCTTGTAAGGCTTAAAAATGATTGAGATTGCTACCATGGCACCTTACACTAAGCTGTCCAAAAAAGTCATTCTAATAATAATGTGGGAAGACCACATATCTTGTGATTTAATATTTACGACAGTATATACTGCATCAGGACTATTCTAAGCAGGAATGGATATATGAAAGGGTAAAAAAAAAAAAAAAAACTATTTCCTCCTACATGTGTAATTTGTCCAAAATGCCAATGGAAAAATGTATCACTCAACAATCAAACTCCATTGTCTGCAAACCCCACCATTAGCAATTTCGCCTTTTTGCTTAACACTGAAGCCCAAAGCCACTACCGTGTGACATTTAACTAGATGATCTCAAAAATCTCTTCCAGCCTATGAGTCTGTGAGCCCTTTTAGACTCAAAATACCTGTGGAAGAAGAGTAGACAAAGCTATTACATTACTGGACAGTCTCTTGGGCTCAACTGTAACCCTGCCAACTTCATATATTGATGTTCTAACCCCCAGTACCACAGAATGTGATTCTATTTGTATTTTGATAGGGTTTTTGAAGAGGTAATTAAGGTAAAGTGAGTTCCTATGGGTGAGTCTTAATCCAAGATGACTGAGATCCTCACAAGAGGAGGAAACTTGGACACACAGAGGTACAGACAGATGATCACATAGAGACCCAGGGACAAGACGGCCACCTGCCAGCCACAGAAAGAGGCCTCAGAAGAAACCAACACTTTAGACACCTTGATCTTGGACCTCCAGCCCCTAGAACTGAGAGGCAATACATTTCTTCGTTCTGCAGTACTTTATCATGGCAGCCCTGGCAAATTAATATAGACAGTAAGCCAAGACTTCCAAAGAGGTGGCCAGGTGAGGATTAAGGCATGGTTGAAACAAACTTATATGTGGGGTGGGGGAGAGCGACAGATTCTTTTTAAGGTCCTATCCCCCTGAGATCCAGGGGCCAGTTCTAGCAAACTAGTTAACTGGTGTGTGCTGATAAAGATGTGAGAAGTGGGTAAGAATTTTTATCCACTTCGGTACGGCGCTCACTGGCCGCGAAGCCTCGCCCACGGCGGCACTCACAGTCTGCACGGCGGTCTGTGCTGTGCATCGACGACGAGTCTGTTTTGCTCTTGTGTGATGAGGAACGCTTGAAAGCACTGAAAGCTTGTTTGACTTTACAGGCAGCTTTGGTTGTCATGTAAATCAGAATAGGTAACATATACATACATGTTTTCATTACATTATTTTTAAATGTTCACAATTTTTATTTTGATAAATGAAAAATTAGAAAAGTCAAGTTTTGTTATTAACACTAAAGTCGACGCTCAGCTGTGCACCTTCATATCACAGCTGTCAGCTAAAGTCGACGCTTGGCTGTGCGCGTTCATCTGTGGCTATCGACTACGGTTGACGCTCATACCAAAGTGGTTAAGACAGGGAAGCAGAGAGAAGGCGATGACAGATTTCACCCCCTTTGAGATTCTGCCAGGGCTAAGCCTCAGGAGAGTCTATCGGGACAGGCATTAGGATTGGCCAGACCCTGGCCACAGACATGACCGGCGGGAGACTTCCTACCTCCCGTGTGACTTCAGGCTTGCCCGGGCTCCCAACCTGATGGTTTCAGATCACTGACTTTTGCCCTCTGGCAAAGCACCCTGGCCAGGGATGGTTCTTAGAACCAACACTCAGGACCCACCAACCTGCACGGCTGGGGGGAACGTTATGATTCCACCAGGCAGCGCAGCACACATTCGGGAAAACACATCCACTCACCGGGAAACAGCCAACGCTGCATACCCACTGCACGAAAACCTGACACCGGAGGGAAAATATTTTTGTTAAATAGACTGATTGCTAAATGAACAGGGTTTGTAGAAAAAAATCACATCTATTATAGAGGACTTTTCAGTTCATGAGCTTCATAATATCGGATGATCACGTTGGCAAAGCAGGGTCTGTAGGGCTGTTAGCTGAGATCTGGAAATTGCTTTATTATTCCCTATTACGATAATATTTGCCAACACAGAATTTTTCACTTGTGTGTGAGCTCCAATAAAATTCCCGACCACCATTGTTTATGGCCCGAATATATTAATAATCTCCACGTCACAAATTCCAAAGAAGACAAACGAAATAGTTAAAGAACTCGAGCATTGTGGACCTATTGAATACTGCATTTTACCTTTATGTGCTCTTTTTATTATTATTATTTATCACCCACAGACATTTAAGGAAAAAATTAAACCTGATAACGTCAAAAGATGAGAAAGGCTAAGCTCAGAGAAATAAAGGAACCATAAATCAGGAAAACTTTCGAGCTGCCGGAGAGACACTTTAATTTTGTAGACAAAAGACTGCATTAAGGAGGAATAATGCAATAATCAAAGGTGAACGGATCTCTATTGTCTGGCATCTTCCTCTGTGGGAATTTTCCCACCCCTGACAGCTGTAAGGGGGGCAGCAGCACCGAATGTGGCTGCGCCTTTATTCTCTTACCCCCCATCTCCCCGGCCCCTCCTCCCCTCCGTCAATAAACGTCTGCAATCTTATTCTTGAGCTCCTGTGTGATTTCAAGGTTCATCTCTTCCATGCAGCTCAAACACTAATTATCCCAGCTGTAATTAGTAAGATAATTAAATACTGGCTCACTCATCACTCTACCTTGGGTCGGGTCGTGATTCTCCCAGAAGACCTTGAGCAGTTCCTCAAAGCTGATGTGTTCTGGCTGGTACACGACTCGGACGACTTCAGCGTGGCCAGTTTTCCCTTTGAAAGAAACAGAAACGGACAACCCAAATTTATGGACAACAGAAATTTATTGCAAGGTATCTGTTCTCAAAAAAAAACACCCCAAAAGAACAAAAGCTGGGAACTCTTCCCTCTGAGGGAAGGGTGGAAGCGTGGTTGGACTTTGGCTAACAGGCTCGTCCTGAGTCTCTTTCTTGTTCCACCGGCTCTTGTTCCAGAAAAGCACACAGTTCTCCTCTGGCAAGCGCCCTGCAATGGGGACTGCTGCATTGTGCTCTAATACATTTTTTTTTTGAGTTCGTGAAAAAACAAACGTGGGTTTTCATTTTTCTATCTCACTCTTATGAAATCATATAGATCCAACCTGACATAGTGCTCGATATTCGAAACCCTGCAGAGGGGAAGGAGCCAATAATTTATTTTTACCATCTCCCCATGCTGTGTGCAGTAAGCTCAACTGCACTGCAGTGAGACGGTGCCAGATAGAGAAACCTGGAAAAAATTTTAAAAACAGGCTGATAACTCATTTGCATTATATAAATTAGTTAAGGGAGGGACATACTTGCTGTGCTGTTAACGCTGAGGCAAGGGTCAGAAGCAGATACCCAGAGGGGCAGTAAGCGTTTTCTCAGCCTAATTTGTCTCTACGGTAAACAACCATGGGGCACGTGTCTCTGTGCAGGACCAGCTGTAAGCAGGCCCCTTCTCATAGGTGGTCCCGGAGGTTTGTGCATCAGGGAGGTGGATGTCTGTAGTACCCCTTGTACCTATGGAATGCATACCTTATTTTATAGCCTTACAACATGGTATTAATAAATAATGGACCTCTTCATGATAACATCATCTCTATACTTAAATTTGTTTTCCATCTCTTTCCAGTGACCTACATGCAGTAAAGAATTGAGCCTTGCCCAGAGAGAGATCTGGCTTTTGCCTGCAGCTCCTGGGAGATAATCTATGTCATGTCCAATAGAAATGCCTTGTTTAGGGCAGGGGCTGGCCACACTGGACCCTGTATTCAACAGTACAGATGGGACCAGCTATACCCAACAGTCTTAGGTGCAAGTCTCAGGGGACTGGTGGTGCCAAGAAGGCCAGTTGCGTAAATTAGGGTGGGATCACATGGCATCAGTGGACCCAGAGTCTGAGTTCAACCACGTGGGCAGTCTATCAATCCATCAGTCATGCCTGCACAATGGAGCCACAATAAAAACTCTGGATACTGGAGCTCAGGCAAGTTTCCCTAGTTGGCAATACTCTCTGCATATTATCACACTCCAGTGCCAGGAGGTTTATACTTCTGAATCCGTGAGAGAGGAGAACAGAAGCATTTGGAACCTTCCCAGACTCTTCCCTATGCATCTCTTTCTTGAGTTTGAGCAGTATCCTTTCCCTGTAATAAATCGTAACCATAAGTCTCCTTCTAGCAAATTATCTGTGGTGAGCACTGTGGAGGGGAAGGGCACATACCTCTAACCCTTGCTAGGGAGAGGCAAAGATATAAAATGTAACCAAAATGTTAGTACTCTCATATTTTCTTGAAAAAAAAATTATCAAATATGAGGGCAGTTTTGGGAATGCTCTGAACTTGCACCTTAGTTTGCAAAAGTATTTTCCCATATATTCATTATCTCACTTTAATTATCACAAATATCCAGTGACGTAGGCAGAAATTCTCATTTTACAAACCGGAAAAATGAGATATAAATATGTTAGATTTGCGCAAAGTCACATGGCTAGTGAATTTGGGGGCCATAACCTGAAAAGAAACAATAACCTTCTTATAACAGCTTGTCTGGGGTTCTATTCAATACATAAAAGAAAAGAGAGCAGAGCAAGGTGAACATTTGGAGCATGGGTCCCAGAAAAAAAGGAAATCTATTATCTTTAATTTGTTAAAATTTAAAAATTGCTTTGATTGTACAGACAATATTTGCAAATAATTTGAAGCTTAGAAAATGTGAGGGCCTATTTAAAAGAAAATAAAAATCACCTGTACTCCTGCCACAAAAGCACTATCAATATTTTTTATGCATCTTGTCTGAAGGTGTTCTAGATGAGCACACACACACACACACACACACACACACACACGTTCCATTATAATCATTATGGCATGCTTTTCCCACATACCAGTACATTGTGTTTCCCCACATCACTGAAATTTCTAGAAAACACCATTTATAATGACTACATAACACTCCATTAGACGGTTGTCTAGCTACTTACTGAATCATTCCCTGTCTTTGGACAATTAGACTGAAATGTATTTTTTTCCACAAATGTAAATATTTTTCCATGCTTCTGCGGCTGCCTCAAGCCATAGTCATATAAGTGAGATTTCTAAATCAATGTTTATGAACACTTTGAAATTTCTTAATGCATAGTTCCAAGCTGCTTTTCAGCAAATTTGGCCCAATTTTCTCTCCCTGTTGGCAGCATATTTGAAGGCCAGCCTCAGTCGCTATTATAATGTTTTTAATCCTTAGCAATTAATAGCTGAAAGACGGTATCATATTGTTTTATTTAGAATGAATTATTAGTGAGGTAAAAAATACATTTCATGGTTGTTTGCTATTTTAATTTCTTCTTTGCTCTAATTTTCATTGTATCCTTTTTATATTGGGTTATTAACTGTTTATAATAATCATTTATTATTGATTAGTTTATACAGTTTTAATTCATTATTGATTAGTCCATACAGTTTTCATTCAAATACTATAGTCATTCAAGTTAGCATCTAAACAGATTTTATACTAACAGATGTGAAAATAATAAAAGTGAAGAGTTTGGGAAGAACATACAGTAAATATCATAATCATGTTATTGAAAACCACCTTTGATCTACTTTAACATCTTATTTTGTAATTTAAAATGTTTAAATAAGTGATTCCACTACAAAAGCATTAAAACTCTCTGAATCATAAAAATGGCAAGATGTTTTATAAATACAACAATATATTTGGCATGAAAGGCACTGAAACCACACTAGAAATATAAGCAACACAGGTAGGCAAACAGGCTATGGACACGGGAAGAAATGCATGTAAGTCAAGACATGCAAAATGCCAGCAAATAAAAGTAAATGCGTATTAACATATTGACATACCATCTCTTCCTACATTTTGTAAACTGCCTGAAAGCATTCTAGTCCTGTTGAGGATACAATGAAACGGTGCCCTTACCTGGGCAGTGATGGGGTAAAATGACTAAATCAGGTTTGAAACACCATTGAGTATAAGTATCAAGAGCCACAAAGGTTCTCATTCACCTGGATTAAGTGATCCAGGAAATCTATCTCAAAGGTGTAACCTCAAATAATGGAAAAGATACATACTCAGGCAAGAAATTCATGCCATCATTATGACAGTGGCGTGAACTGGAAGAAATACACAGGTCAAACAAAAAGGAAACAAATTATGTCATAGCCACATGACGAAATATCATGGAACCATTAGAATACCATATCCAAACCATAGTGAGAGCAGCTACTACTCAGTGAGCCATAACAATATCCACCCGCTTTACCTGCTTGATGCCACTTAGCTGCTCACAACAGTTTTTCTGTTGTGATAAAATGCACATAACACAACATTGACCATCTCAACCATTTTAAGTGTACAGTTCAGTGGTATTAGGTGCATCCACATTGTTGTGCAGCCATCACCACCATCCATGTCCCAAACTCGGTCATCGTCTGAAATTCTGTATCCATCAAACACTAAGTCCCCACTTCCCTCTCTCCCTGGCCCCTGACAGCCACATTCTACTCTCTATCTCTGAGAATTTGACTGTTTTAGGGATCTCATATAAGTGGAATTACACAGTATTTGTCTTTTTCTGACTGTCTTATTTCACTTGGCATAATGTCCTCAAGGTTTGTCCATGTTGTGGCATGTGTCCAAATTTCCCTCCTTTTTAAGGCTGGATGATATATATTCTAGCCTGTGTGCGTGCGTGTGCGTGTGCGTGTGTGTGTGTGTGTGTGTGTGTGTGTGTGCCACATTCTGTTTATCCATTCATCCATCATCGGACACTTGGGTTGCCTCTACCTTTTAGCTAGTGTGAATAACGCCACTATGGAAATGGGTGTACAAACAGGACTCACGACAATTTTGTGAGAGAGATGTGGTCCCCATCTTACAGATGAGGAAACCAAGGTCTCTTTCACAAACGACATTCCATAGCTGTAAATAGCAGGGGGCGGTCACAAGTCAACCAGGTTTTAACCAGAGGTGAAGCTCGAGCTCAGGCTGTGACCCTGAGCCAGGCTGAACAGAGACACCTGAAGCCAGCAAGGGACAGCAAATGTCACGCAGGCTGTGGCCCAGATGAGACATCACCGCATTGCAGTAAGTGACTCTCAGGCTGTCGAGAAAATTGTACAGGGTTAGTCTGTTGTTTCATGACAGGAAAGATTTCCACTCACCAGCAAACACCTCCAGACATAATCTGGCACTGACATAATATTATTTGTGGAGCGGCTTAAAGAAGCCCAGTTATTTAAGACAAACTCCTACCATTCAAATGCAAGATGCATTTGCATCGACAAACAGCGCAGAGATGCCCTTGCCCAACTCACCTTTAAGTCTCTTTACTTTATTTCTCCGAAGTAAAAGAAGCTGTGTGGAAATACGCAGTGCAAATGATCAAAAGGATTAAGGGACTCAGAACCTCTTACAGAAATGCCCGCATGTTGCAGGACCTGGCCGGTGTGCCGGGCTAATTTCATTCCAGCAACCGACCTGCAAACACTTTCTTGTGTTTCCAGAGATAAAAGGCCACATCTTAAAAATACTTCGAGCTGTGTCTTCACGTAGCATCATGCAAATAGCACCATAGCTGTGACGTGCAAACGTGCTTGTGAACGACTCATGGCCACATTGAAGGTGCTTTAACGTTGTTGCTCAGAAATATCTTGAAAGCAAAAACAGAAAGGGTGACTGTCTTTCTGAGCATCTCCCTCCAGTCCCTCACACCCCAGGCCAGAGGGCTCCTTTACCTAAATAAACAGACTG